TAATCCTGTGTGGATACGAAGGATTATTGCTCAAATGCCACTACACAGAACCAGCATACCTCCTCCTCCAGTGCAGAGCCACTAGAACCATAGGACTGTTCCCAGCTCTACATCTCCCATCTGTGCAAACTTGACCTCCCATCTGAGACTTGGTAGAGAAATGGCTGAAGCATATTGCGCAGTAGCCAATATCTGCCCAGCTCCCTGAAAACCTGGCCAGGTGGTAAAACTGGACGGATCCCCGGAGACTGCTTCAACTGTTGCTAGGCCTCAGTGGCTGGTGGAGCATCACACACTTAGGAAGGCACAAGTGGCTTAATCCTCACCTGGACTCCAGCCCCTACACTGTGCCTCCTAGGATATTTGGGGCCTTGCCCTGGCCTTGTTTTCAGTGGTTTCATAATGTTTCCCCATTTGGGGAGGAAAATCCCACAGCAAGCAGGAAAATGCTGAAGAAATCCCTGTGTCACGGCGCAGGGTCTTAGGGGCAGCCGTGATATCCCCTAGCGCCCCCTACCGTGCCAAGTTCGTCTTAAAGCACCCTCATTCTCTCCTGCCACGTCTTGATCCTTAATAGATAGATAGATAAAAGGGAGGCTGCCTTTCGTCCCCTTGGACACAATGCTCTGTTGTATTCTGGCCCCTGTTCTGTACTGTGTGACTTGGTGCACCCCAGCCTTATGGGCTATGCGTGGCTCCAACCGCCCCTTTACCATGCCCCAAGACTCACTGATGTACCGGATGATGTTTGGTCTCGCAACTGCACCCTCTGGCGCTCATCTCTCGCCGCTCCCTTTGCTCTGGGGCTTCTCACTCAGGTGGCCGTAGCCATGCTTGGCCCCAGCTCTCCTCCTCGGGGTCTCCAACCCCCACAGGGCTCAGGCGGCTTTGGCCTTACCTGGCCTCCAATTCTCTGCTCCCCTTCTTGGTGGTGGGGTCAGTGCACCCCAGATGCTGCACCATCTCTGGTACCGGGGTCCCCTACGCGGCCTCCTCCAACCCCTAATAGCCTCGCCCAAACCACCGGTTGTAACAGTAAACAGGAAAGCTCAAGCCCCTGGGCTGCAACATAAATTCAAGCTGCTCGGCTATCACATTAGTCCCACCACATCAGGGGTGCTCTATCTTTGCCCCTGTCTCAAAGCTGTACCTGCAGTCTAGCCTCTCCTCTTTGTTCACTCCAGCAGAGCTCCTTCCCCTACAGCTGCTAGCAGGGAACTGCCTGCCCGGCCTCAGCCTGGGTTTAAATGGGAGCCAGGCCCTGCCCCTTCCGGTCAGCTGACTCCCACTGGTTACCCTGGCAACCTGCAGCTGGGCTCCTTGCTTGCTGCTCCACAAGTAGCAGGCACCTCAGTGCCCTGTTACACCCTGCTTTTGTTCAGAACCCAGATTGCTATTTGCATAATGAAATTGCTTTCACTTCCCCCTCCCCCATGTTCATCTTTCTCTCTTAATTGGAGAAGGTGAGCATACAGCAAAGAGAATTTCTCATTCTGCTTACTGAAATCCCTTGTGTTTCAATATTCATGTTTGCAAGATGGAGGACAGCATTTGGAAAGAGTCTAAAACTACCCAGACAGAACTGGACTGGTCCCACCTGCCTTCCCTTGTGTTTGACAAGAAAGTCCAGTCCTGGGGTGACGCTGGGGGTGGGGGTGGGAGTGGGAAGCAGAACCGTCTCTGGCTAGGGAAATGTTCAGGTTTCTAGGAGAAAACAACCCAGAAGCCTGATGCTTGGAGATGATTTCCTAGTCCAAACGGGGACCACGGCTAATAGGCCAAATGCAATGCACTTACAGGCAAAAACTACTATGGGCCAGATCTTACTTTGCCTTCCCGGAACCTAAATCCTCTTGGGTGTCCAATGTGACCCTGTTCATCCCAGTTCTAATCCCTTAAAAAAAAAGCAAGCGTTAGTGCACAGAGAGGTGGACCCTCCTCCTCCCTGAGTTTGTGAATTCATCTCAGGGCTGAGATGAAGGTGCCTTACAGAAGTGGAAGCACTCATGACTCTTCAGAGGCTTGAGGAGGCTGGAACAGGATCTCATTTAGACATCCAGTAATTAAATCCAGTTCTGGGCCTATATCATTGAACTATAAAAAAGCACCTCTTACCCGTATTTGTCCAACCAGATTATATCCTCCAATAGAAAGCTGCATGATCCAGCAAAACCATAAAGGGTTTTAATTCCTTTTGATTTATTTGCTTATTTCAGACTATGACTAACTTTAGGAATGCAAAGGAAACTAACCATAAGCCCAAGTGCAAACAGATTAACAGAGAAATAAAATAGCATCAGCGACTTGTTATTTATACTACATTAGCAGGAGTCGGAAGAGAAGCATGTGACATTGGGTTCCTATTAAGGCAGATGCTAATAAAACGGCACATGGACATCAGCACAAATAACCACATACTAATTTCAACCAGTCAGGCAATAGTTGCTGTCTTAAAACATTAAGTCCCTGGAGTGAAACCCTGGCCTCACTGAGGCCAACAGCAAAATTCCCACCAACTTTAGTGTAGCCAGGGCTTCACCCCTAGTTTGCATTACCAGTAAAGGAAGAGTGAAATCCTCCACTAATGTGGTACATGGGTCCTACCCACGTCTGGGTCTGAGAGAGGGAAAAGGAAAAGGGTGAGGAAAGGGCATCCTAATATCTTTAGACCCCAAAACACCCAAAGGAACGAGGAGGATGAAAGTTTCTCTCCCTTTTTAGGCCTAGCACATATTGTTCCTCAGGAAAACAGACCCTTTTCCTGTCCATCCTGTCCTATTCCACCGTGGAGGTGGTTTCTATATGCTCTCTCAGGTTTGCTTGTAGTATCCCTCTTTAAATAGCTTGAGGGCCCTCTAATGGGTCTTCTCCCCTGACTGCAGAAGCCACCACCAATACTGTATAGGTGCAAATGTGTGTATTTCCATGTAATTAGTACACGTGGTTATTTGGAACTCAGTTGGGTCTATACAGTTTCCTCTGATTCCTAATGTGCATAGAAAGTAAGGGCAATGCTTGAAGCTCAGACCAAGTCTCTGTGAACAGGCAGTATTTACTATATACAAATAAAGAGAAGATGCTGCAACCTGCTAAAAATGGCTGCCAAATCGCTCGGAGCTCAGCGGCAGCAGAAGGTGTTCAATAGCTTTTGGGATTTTTCTTACACTGAGAATTATACTCACAGAGCACGATTTTGCCGCTCAGCCCACAGGAGTCTGATTACCTGCTGCATCACATTTCCTTGCTGATACACCCACAGCTCTCCTCATTGCTAGTCCCTGCCCTCTGTCAGAGGAGCTATATGGATACACTGAAGCACAATACTTCATATCAATTACTTAAAACTGTGTGGGATTAGCAAGAAATTTCCCCTCTAGGCACTGGGGTTTCTTTCCCTATAGAATTTAATTAGGATTTAAAAGAAGTTCTCCAAAAAACTTGAGAGTCATAAAAATAATTGTGGAAAGAAGGAAATCTTTCCCATAGTTATTGGAACTGGTTTATAGAAGAAAACTATCATCTACTATAGAATTTTAATTAAAAAAACAACCTAGATCTCACTTTCTATAGAGATTTTCTATAAGCAGCACATCTTCTTGTGACAACTGATGCAAGGCACCATCACGGAGGGGTCACTGGGTTACGGGGACTCTGGGTCTATTCCTGTATGGTAGCTCCCAGGTTTCTTTAAAAGGCTCCCTGAACTGGCAAGGACAGAATAAGTCCTATTACACCATTCTGCTATTTTTCATTCCATAGTAGGCCACACAGATACATGCATCTGTAGCTCAATCCAGAGAGCATTCTACTGGATGCTCTGTTACAGGAAAACAAGGTTCTTTGGGTAAATCTGGTATCTTTGATTAGAACTAAAACAGTTGGAAGATTTTTTCTTTGCAAGCTTCTGGGTACAAACACTCTTCTTCAGGCAGAGGGAGCACCTGCAGTTGTTTTGTGGTCTCCTGGGTGGGATGGAAACCACTATGCAAGAATGCAGGTCAGTGAAAATGCAAATGCCTGGCAGTGAGGGTCAGAAAGGTGGAGAGACAATGATGGGGCTGAGGAGAATGGTGATCTGGTGATGGACTGTAAATGGTAAATTGTAGAGAGGTTACCTGGGGTATCAAATGGTAAGCAGGTTATAAATGTGCCAGAAATCCAATGTCTATTTAGTCCATGATTTTTTGTATCCAGTAAATTGATGAAGTGAAGTTTGTAGGCTTGTCTGCGAAAGGTGTTTTGTAAATTCCCTTTGAAGATTAGAACTGGGAGTTCTAAGAGAGAGTGGCTGTCTTGTGAGAAATGTGCACCCACACGTGCAGACATTCAGTGCACATAAACCAGTTGCAAAATGGCTGAAGCCAGTTTGAGATAAACCTGGTTGAATGTAGTATCAGACTTGACTGATTTGGCTTGAACTGGTTTATGCAGTGTCTGTCCCAGACCCCTTCCTGGTTTAAGATAAACCAGACTTCCCCAGCATCCCAGCATGCTCTCTGGGCTGGGCGGAGCTCTCTGCTCCACAGCAGGGCTGTCCCCTCCTCTCTGCTCCCTGGCTGCAGCTCTGGCAGGGAGGAGGGAAAAGAGCGCCCCCTAGCACCAAACAGGGCCCCCCTCCCAGCCCCACAGTGGTGGGGGAGAGGGAGGAGGGGAAAGAGTTCCCTCTGGGGCCGGGCAGCCCTGTGTGCCCAGATTGCTCTCGGCTGTCAGGGAGCCGCTGGGGTCTGGTCATGCCTCCCCCCAACCTCAGCTCAGATTCCCTGTGGAAGGGAGGGCTGCTCTAGTGCCCCTGGGCTTCTGGCTTAAGCCACGGCAGGCATGTGCTGAATGTCTCTCCGCTTGCAAACTAGTTCACTCTTTGCAAGTTAGACTAACCTGCAAAAACTGAATCAATTCAGGCTCAAGCTTTTTGAATGTCTGTCCTTATCCAAAGTGATTCTGCCAACCCTTGCAGATAAGGCAGAAGTTGGGTTTCGTTCACTAGGAATGGCACAAGTTACCTTTGGTCGTTTCCACTCCACTGTCCCAGGCAGATGTCTCTTGTAGAATAGGGATTCGTCTGATGCTGGAAACTCGGGATCTTCAAAGAGGTTCCTTTGTTTGAGACACTGCTGCTTGAGCGTGTGATATTTCTGATCTTTGAACAATTTCAGCGATGACATATTCCTCTATCTAGGTTAGATAAAGATTGTGTCCATTTAGAAGCTTAAGCCATTTTAGATGATTCTCCTCCCTACTCTCCATCACCCTTCGATAAACAGCACCTAACAAGTAGCTCTAGGCAAAATTAATTGCCAATCTTGGATAAAGGTGGGTTTACAAATTAAATTAGACTGGGAGCAGATAGCAAAGTCTTAAAACAAAAGGATTTCTACGTAGTAGGATAATAGGTCATAACATTTTGAGTAGGAAAGAACCAGGAAGGCAACTCATCAGGAAGACAATTCTGGACTGGGAGATGTGAGATGACACTTCCTTCTTTTTTTTTTTTTGGATTCTACTGTGGCCGAAAGGTAATTCAGGAGCAGCCTGGGTCTGAACTGCTCTGGGAAGGCTTTTTTCTTTTTTTGGTTGACTAGCCCTCTTCTACATTTGTGCGCAAAGATGAGGCAAAATGATAGGTAGATCAGACTTCCAAAACTATCTTTTGCAATTTAAGTCTATACGCTTTGGCTGTTTTTGCCATCTTTGTGGGTTTTTTTGTTTTTTTTTTTTTAATTTAAAAACTAGTTAATGGAGTTTCCTGGCAAAAGTGTTCACAGAAGCAGCAGATAGTGGCAAATATTGTTGGGGAATTAGGAAACTTGTTTCTACGCTTGGTTTGATTGCAAGAATTAAGAGTATCCTTTCTAGGAATATGAACCTGTCATGTATTTTGGCTGACCAAATCGTACAGCTCAGCTAGTAGGTGCATGTTCCTCAGCAATTTTATTACAAGTTACAGACCAAATAACATTTGCAGAATTTATCTGAGCTCTTGAAACACTGAACACCATTTTTCTACAGATCTGTTTGAGGAAGTGGACAAGAAACCGAACTCACTCTGGAATGAGCTTCTATGGCAAATCCTTGTTTTAGGTTTCCCCTTCAGTTTTCGGAAACGTATCCTCTTCTTGCCTTGAGGTGATCTACAACAGTAAGATGCAGAGTTTTTATTTCATTGGTAAGAATATCCTCCTAGAAGATTATACGGCAAAATGACACATGACAGGGCATCACAGTATCTTGGTGGTCCTCCTCTTAAGTGTTCCCACTGGAGTGAAATTAGCAGTCAGATGTACATTTTTCCTTGCTGCAGTTATTTGCACATGTACCAAAGCTGGCCCAATAGATGCAACTAGGCATGGCAGGTTTCCTTTAAAAGCCAAAACCATCTACTTTGGGTGGATGTTACACCACAGCTGTAGAAGCCAACACTTGTCAAACAAGAGAATTACAATCCAGTATATATTTAAAGCTTTCCATGGGTCACATCCTGAAGTGTCTGCTTAACAATTTACTCATACAAAACTTCAACTGATGACAACTGAGAATTTTGCCTGAGTCAAGATTTTGGGTGAAATCCTGACACAGTGGAAGTCAAAAGAGAAAAACTTCCACTGATGTCAAAAAAATGGATCAGGGTTTAGACAAAGCAATCTCTTATCGACTATGCTTTCTTCTCTATCAACAGGACAACAGCCTTTGGAAAAAAAATACATAAATTAGCTGCAAACAGGCAAGAAATAGCTCAGTGCAACAATACCATTTCCAAACAAGTTTCCTTTTTTCTTAAGAGCCGTTTTCTCATTAATTAACCCAAAAAGACCACATTGTAACAAGATACGTTATTTGGCAGATGGCCTCCAAGACTGGCAAAGATAAGTAGATTGATTCACACCTCCCCCACCGCATTCTTCAAAGTCAAGTACAGAAAAATTTGCCAATTATAAAGAGATCGCTGAAGGAAAAAAACAGTTACTCTAATTTGCTTGGAATATAGTTTAGAGCATGATAACACTCACTGGCACTTCCTTCCATTAGAAAATCTCCGCTGACTAATGAGGATCCCAAAGAGCAAGTTAATTTGCAAGAGATACAGTTGTTTGCAGAACGGCTCTGGGGTTTTTCAACTGTCATTGCATACTTTGCAAAGATAGGTTTGTACTGACCCCTTCCCTTTTCCCTCCTTGGATTGGACATCCCAGTCTTTTCAGGATTAACATCCCTCCCCCACAGCCAGTATGGCGCAATATATAGAATAAAGTTGTAAACCAAAGAGCATAAAAATTAAACCTAGCAAAACACAGACGAGGGCTATTCTTTCTGGACAAGACTGCTGGAGGTGTGGGAGTTACGGGAATGCCACCCTCCCCTTTCCAGGGATAGCTCGGTCACAAGAGCACTCACCTAGAAGCAGGAGATCGCAGCTCAGTTGTGTCATCTGTCTGAGAGGCATCCACACTCCTCATCTCCCATGTTCCTGCGGAGCACCCTTACTACCACACCACAGGCTAATCAGGGTGGGGGACTCCAGTCACCCTCTTAAAGCTGGGATATGGAGCAAGAAAGGATCAGGAAAGGATGCATGGGGCCACAAGGAACAGGCGGGAGAGTGACTGTAGTTTAGTTATTCGGGTCCTTGCATTGAAGGCAAGGCTCCGGTGTCCTGGTCCCTGCTCTCCAGGTGGGTTTTGGACTCCTTGTGCCTTCTTGACCAGCGCCATAACTACTAGGCTCCAGTCACACTCTTTCCTGCTTTTTCTGGCTCAGCAAATCTTTTCAGCGCAGTAGCTTCCTTGCCCATCTCCTTGGTTAGCCACTGTAAAATGCACACATCTTACATTGCCAGCTGCACGTTCGAACATATAAAGCAAGTCTTGGCAACATCTCTCCAGTGCCTTAGAGGGCTGCCTACTCCATCATGTAATAGCAAACATAAGCCACACACAGGGTAATGAGTGGTTCCCAAAATATATTACTACAGTTTGGCGAGCCTCCAAAGAACAGCGATATAGTCAGCAAGCAGAGGAAAAAGTCTAAACAAATCAAGTGTTTAAGGCTCCCCCTCCTTGACTTGCTCAAGCTGCAAGATAGCTCTGCACTTGTACGGGGCTTAGACTCTCCAAGCTAAGCTCTCTGTCCCTGCTAAGGAAGCTCGGATTTGCTCCCACTAGTAAAATAACAATCGAATGTCAGACATAGAAACATGTTTGGAGCCATCCCTACGTCTGGAGCTCCTATTGAAACTATTTGGGACAGGAGAAGCTCAGCACTGCTAAGAAGTTGGCATCGGGAGTGAAGGACTCGTTTTCCCAACCTGCTCCTTTCAGCAAAACTCCTGTTAGAAGCTACCCTCCCCTCAGCAGCCCGGACAAGGGAGGACCTGCAGCTCTCCCCCCTCCATGATAAGCCTCTGCTCACATGGCCCCCTCTTCTCCTTTTAACTGCAAAAAGAGTTAAATATTTACTTACACTGACTATTGAAAGATGTTCCCCCCCAGCCGGAGCAAG